ATTGTATGTTACATTAAGAGTACAAGAATTATTGTGTGTTATAATAACATTTTAAGAAATGAAGTGTTAAGAAATTTTTACTTTATCTTTTTTAAATAAAAATTATACATATTTAAAATAACAGCTTTTATAAAATTTTTAATTTTTTACACGTTTAATTGAGGAAAAGGTGAATTTGTACATGTTTAAAAAGAAAGCTCGTGTTATAATTTAAAAGATATTTTAAAAGATATTTTAAAGAGATTTAAAAGATATTTTAAGTATATAATTATTTAAAAAGAATGTAAATATGTGTATTATTATTATGTGTACTATCCCTTAATTTTATGTCTGTTCGATAAACATTGTGTTAACAGAAGCTTACAATTTCTTCACTCGCAACTTTAACCAAAAACCTCCATCCGCCATCATAAGAAGTATTTCCTTCTTTAACACCATAGGAATTCGAGTTTTAATGTCCGGTTCGAGATTGCAACGCCAAAGTAGATAAAACAGCAAGACTTTTGCTTGCATTAGGGCAAACCTGTTACCTATGCACATTCTAGGTCCGATACCAAATGGCATATAGACTGAGTTGTTTACATCTCCATTAAAGAATCTGTCTGGATCGAATTTATCTGGATGCGGGTAGTATTTTGGATCGCGATGCAGACAATAATTTGGAAACCATACACTATCACCAGGTTTTACTGTGATCGGTTCGCCATTCGGAGTCGCTGATGGTAATTTAGTTTCCTTAACACATTTTCTGTCAAGAAAAGGTCCTATTGGATATAGTCTGAGAGATTCATTTATCACGGCATCCAAATACTTCATGCAATTGATAGCTTCGTAGGTAGGTTTGCCGTTGGTCTGCCTAAGAACATCGTTGATTTCCTCTCTCAATTTTTTCTGAATATCCGAATTGACACCGATTTCGTGCGTCATAAAACACATAGCTGTTGATATGGCGTTATATCCGGCGAGAAAGAAAACAAACGCTTGAGCTGTCATTTCGTTAATGTCGTACTCACGTCCATTATCATTGTTCCTTGATTCCATCATCAATTGAATTACGTCCGGGCGAATAATTCCCTGCTCATCTCTGGTCTTCACTGTGGTGGCAACAATATCTTTAAAAAAATTCTCTACTTTTGGGTCAAACATTCTCAGTTTAAAGAGTTTTGCAAGTCGCGGGAAATTTCTTTGCATTAAAAATTTAAAAACCAACCAGCCATCAAAATTGAATGATTCTTTGCCAAGTAAAAAGAACTCATTGTTCGGATGCTTAAAAGAATCCACGTCAATACCGAAGGCACACGTGGCCACTGTATCGTTGGTATATTTGGAAAGTAAGTCTTTCATATCATACGTTTTGGCAGCTTCTACGGATTGTGTTGTCACAAAATTGACTAAGTTTTCGGCACATTGGCAAATAAGTCCAAACATCATCTTTATCTTATTAGATGTGAAGCTGGGACTAAGAAGTTTTCGCATTTCGCGCCAGTCATCTCCAAGCAAGTCAAATAAATTTTTATTTGCTATCGGATCAAAAGTTTTGTTGGTGAAGCCGGAATGATCGCAGAAATTATCGAATTGTTTAATGGCGATCATAGAAATCAGGTCTGGATCACGAATAACGATGACTGGCGTCATAAAATCGTAGAGGCCGAAGAACTTTGCGTCCGGAAAGAGATTGTACATTTTTCGTAAGAGTTCCATATAGGATATACGTCGAAAAGCAAAAGGAGTCATGTTACCCAATAATGGAATCGGTCGCAAATGAGGAATTTTTAATTGTTCAAAATGAGATAATTTAACGGATATTTTACTTAAAACAAAATAATATAAGCAGATGCTCGCTGTTAAAACAGTGAGAAGTAAAGTAGAGAGTTCCATCGCGATATAAATTCCAAATTGACTAGTGATGAAATGCACTACGAGCTTCTACTACTGATTATGTACATACGTCGTGATATATATATATGTTTACTGTACAGTAAAAACACTATAAAAAAAAATCTTTCTTCTTGAACGAGCTCTTTGTTATTTTACTCACTCAAAAGAAAAACATATTCTGCCTGAAAAACATATTTAGCAGTTCCGTGTTATGTCTGAAGATTTCTAATTATATATGATCTCACACGAGGATACTCTACAAAGTAAAGGAATTTTGCATAACTAAAAATGCTGAATTTAGGATTGCAATCCTCTCAATATTAGAAAAAAATGTCTTACACATACTGACATGCACGCATATTTTAAATGACAAATTTCTAACAATAAAATAAGCGTGCCGCTAGTATATCCTCTTATTTTAAAAGGCTATTTGAATTATTATGAGAATTTTTTATAGAGGAAGGATTAATTTTTAATCATAGCTCGTGTGTCCTCATTTTTATAGATGAATACGTGTTATAAATACACTAATTAATGTAAGATATTTTGCTTAGAGGAAATGCTAAATGGAATTTTCTCCTCTCACCCTTCCTGTTCGGAGCAGAATATATTTTGGGTGTATTTATATAAGTTTATATCAATACATGGCATTGTCGCTTTTGTTAAATAAATAAGATTAGAGTCATTTATAAGTCAATTATGTTTTATTTTAATAATCAATTCAATCTTTTCTAATGAGATAATAAATACAATACTCGTTTTTATATAGTCTACAACAGAGCTAACCAAGGTCGAGATTTTTTGCTTGAAATCATTAATAAGTTTTGACCTGTGTCTTTCATTATACTTAAAAGTATTTTGTTACTAATATTATAAAATATTATAAAATATTATAAAATAT